CTGATAGTCTTAACAGAGAGATATCTAGCCTGGGTCAAAAAAGCTTCCTGGAGGTGGTGACTCTTGAATTCAGTTTTAACCACTAAATAGAAAGGGGAAGGAATCAAGACGGAGCCTTAAAGAAAGGGTAAGTTTCACCCTGGCCAGTGTGCTCAGTGGTTAGAGTGTTGGTCTGCACAACAAAGGATTGCAGGTTTGATTCCGGCCCCACCAGTTGGAGTAGCGTGTAGGAGGCAGCCAATCTCTGTCTCTCTCTTTCTCTCTCTCTCTCCTGTCTCCCCCCCCCCCCCCCGCCCCTTTCACTCTCTAAAAATCAATGGAAAAAATATCCTCCAGTGAGGATTAACAACAACAAAAAAGAAAGGATAAGTTTCCACAGTAACATGGAGAACTTTTAATCATCCATTCTCTACCAATCTTAACAACCTCATCTCCCTTAACTCTCCTTCTATCCAAGCTGGCTTACTCACTGAGTTCAGAATATGCTTAATTTATTTTATTTTCTCAATTACTGCTTAGGCCATACCCATCCCTGTTCCTCACACTAGCCTAAAGTCAATCTACAAAATAAACATAAGTTCTATCTTGTTGTAATTGGTCAATCTGGCCCTTATCAACGACTCCATTCTTTGAACTTTTCCATCACAGGATCAGATGAACACATTCCCCTACATACTTCCTTTGCCCTCCTATTACATTTATGCAGGTCATAATCCGTAACCATCTGGATCTTTGCACAGAGATTTAACTTTTTACATGAGAATGCCAATTATGTAATTTCCATGAGGGCTAGACTTCATGTAATCAAGAGAAAATAGAGCAAGGATATAGCATTTCAGTCTCAGATCTATTTGGTACATGAAGGAATAGATCAAAAAACTGTGAGCAACTGTCTCAGGTTAAACAGAAAGCACATGAGAGGTTTGTAGAGGCTTAAATGCCTGGACTTAATGAGTTTTCTTGTTTTTAGGTTCTCACCTTGACATGCCCTGGCTCTATCAACAGCAAACTATAAAAACTTTCCACTGTGGATTGTGTAAGTCATTTAAGATGCCTCAAATCCTTTGGGAATAAGGCATGATATTATAAAATAAAGGTCAGGAGAATGATCAGAGTCAACTCCCTAAACATGGCTCCTCTACTGGGATGTAGCATATGAAACAGTAGAATCAAGAGATCTGGGTTAAATTCCTGGCTCTTGAAACTCACTGGCTTTAGAACTTGGGCAAATCCTTAATGTGGAATAATCACTTACCCTTAATGTGGATTATTCACTTACCACTCAGTGTTGCTGTGAAAATTAAATGAATTAATACATACATAAAGTAACTAGCACAGTACCAAAAAGATATTTGCTTAATTATTCAGTATTAAAACATTATGCCAACCCATTTATCCCTGCAACTCCTTTTAGAGTAGAGAAAGAGAGATCTTTCCCCACTTTTTAAGGATCTATCAGGAGCAACTTGCTAAGCCCATTGAAACTCAGTCCTGAACAAGGAGTCCTAATCCTAATGCCCAATGTACAATAGGTTGTCTTTATGACCAATCTCTACCTGTTTCAGTGGGGAGGTTGGGGGGGCGGGGCAGGATTAGATTCTAGTCATACTTCTTAGAGTAACAGAGTCTTTCCAACATTAAGAACTCTCAATTTGATAAAGGAAAAAGTAGGAGGTTTAAAGACTTAATTAATCAAGCTGGACTCCCATAGAAAGAAAACTGATAGTGTTCCATAAAGCATAAAAAGTGAACTCTTCAAACCCTTGAAGACATTTGAGATTGTGACCACTGCCTTTGACAATTCTTCAAGCACCCACTATTAGTCCAAAATGGCAGGAATCATAAAATAAGATGTGAAATGGACCAAAGAATCCTGAACTCTTGGAAGTGGAAAAATGTGCAAAGTCATCTGACATAAGCCTCTCCTTACACAGCTGAGGAAGTTGGTATAGGAGAGAAGCCAAACTGCACGCAAGCTTCTTTTTGCCTCCCAGACACCTCATTGTTTTAAATTTCCTAAGATTTCATTATTTCCTTTAAAGTAACCAAGATCAGACAGAACAGTTCATCTGCCTTGCAAAATGGACCCAAAACTGGAAATATCCACAACTTTTGCCCCTGACAGAACACTGGCACCAAAAAAAGCAAAGATATATACGTTCTTGCAGTTACCTGATTAAATTATCAAGTTCCTGCAGAGGAAGTTGTACCCAGACAAAGAGTGACAATACTGTCCACAAACAGAAATGCATACTGAGAACTAGAGGCTTTTCATAGTTCTTCTATAGAAAGAAAGATCCCTATGGGGACTACCGAAATCACTGGAAGTTTCCAGTGGTGATAACTGACTTCTTCCTTGTGTATCTGCATGCTGATACAGTGAAAAAAAAAAAGCTGAATTAGACTGTGAGACTTCTTAGGAATACCACATACCAGGTAAGGAACTCTGGGAGGTAATAACAGAAATTTGATACCTTTTCTTATTAACTGAACCACCCAAACTTCCAATGACTGTTTTAATCTAAGTTCAATCCAAAATTTGTGACGCTACTCTCTTGTCTATCAACTTATATGAGTATGATATGAACCTACTTAAAGAAGCCACCAGGTGAATAAATACATATATAGTATAGAAATTAAACCACTTTTGGGTGAAATATATTAGCTAGATATAATTCTTCTTCTTAATTAGTCCCTTGAAGTTTGTTCTAACTGCAATGATTCAAAAAAAAGATGTTAACATCTGTAAGATCAACACAAAATTTTAGTGAATGTGAGCTAAACATCAAGCAACACTGTTAGGCAAATACCAAAAAAAGGTAAAGTGATACTATATTGAACTTTAAAAATATTTAGTGACTAGAACATGCAAGATAATATCAGAGTTCCGCTCTCCTTTAATAAGGAGATCTTGAAAATATTGTTGGATGCTACAGCCACAGGACTATGTCAAAGTACGTTAAATTCCTAAGAGACAGGAATAAAACCTCAAACCACATCACAAGAGATCAAAAGTAGGCTACAGCAGGAAGAGACAAAACAGAAGCAGAACAACTAGATGCCTTTAAATATTTACAGGGCAATCAGAAAAGGAACTACCATTGTTTTAATGGGCCCTATGAGAAGAACAAGTATCAATGGATGAAAAACATAAAAACAGCCCTGCCACTTTGGCTCACTTGGTTGAGCGTCCCATGCAACAGGAGGTGGCTGGTTTGATTTCCCAGTCAGGGAACATGCCCAGGATTCACGCTCAGTCCCCAGTACGGGGGCATGCAGGAGGCAGGCGATAGATATTTCTCTCTCTCTCTCCCTCTTCCTTCCTCTCTCTAAAGACAATAGAAACATTATTTTTTTAAAAAAACAAAAACAAAAAACAGAAAGACAGATTTTGGTTTAATAATTTTCTGTTAGCTTTAAAGTCAAGAAATATTGAAGGTGAAAGGAGATATTTACATAAAACAGGAAACTAAGAAACTTAGGCATAAGAGCCTTTGATAAAGGTTTAGGAGCTCATATGGTACATGACACTAAACCATGCAGATTAGCCACGAGTTATATTCTGATAAGTAAAGTCACCTTCCAATTTTTTTATAACAAGAAAGAAGGCAAAGTATGAATGATTCTGAAAGCCATATTTTATGGGGAATAATTTGTAAATGGTGGTCAGGCTATTACAAAATTCCATGTGAGAAAAGATTATGGACTGTTCTAGGTAGTGGTGATGGGAACAGAAAAGAGTGGAAGGCTCACAGAAACATTTCAGAGATGGAGCTGCTGGTACTTAATGACTTATTGGAGACTCTTGGAATAACAGTATTTAGTGGGATTTACTGTGTTAATCTCACCATTCATCTATTAACAATAACAACAGTAATAGCAGATACTTAGTGCTAACCACGTGGTAGGAAATGTCCTAAAGGCATTACATAGTTTAATTCATTTCATTCTCATAACCCTATGAAGTGTATTCTATTAGGCACATTTTACAGAGGAGAAACTAAGGCTTACATCAGTCAAATGGGTCAGAGAATAAATATCAAAGAACTAATAGGATATCAGATGCCAGATTTAGACCTACATAATCCCACAGCTAAAGCTCTGAATCCATACACTAGACAGGTGCAAGGGAAAGGCAACAAAATTCGAGGCAGGCAGCATGCAGTATTGGTAACAGCCCAGAGAGTGAAGAGCATCAGGGGGAAGAGGACTGTTGGTAAATGAAGATTTGGGCGGTATCAGAATCAGGGAACCATTATCCATGTCAAGAAAATTGTTGGCACCCCAGAACCATGATGTGCTTGTTTAAACACACACACACACACACACACACACACACACACACACACACACACGAACCCAAATGATAAAATACCTGCTTTGAATCCAACTTCCAAGAGACGGGACCTAATAATTAACTGTTTTGTTTTGTTTTTTTTAAGTAAAAACCCTGGTTAATTTTGAGGCAGAACCAGGTTTGGGAACTTTTGTAATAGATCGCTAAGGTCTCTTTCTGCTTTAAAATTCAAGTTGACACGAAGTGACTTTCCCAGAAGCGAAAGGAGGAAGGGAGCGATACTAGCACCAAGAAAACGGCTGTGCATTTAGTCTACACCGTTTGTACTTCCATGTTTATTAACGTCTCTCATAGGAACAGGTATAGACCAGGCAATGGGAGGAGGGGTGTGTTGTTCACTGTGTGCTGGTTAAAAAGCAGGCTTTCTCCCAGGATTTTCTGGTACCATTAGCAGAAAGAAACCTGTCCTGACTACAATAGGTAATACAACTCAAAAAAAAATGAGACGGATTCCTCAGGTCCTTGTCTGGCTAACGATGGATGCCAAAATATTCTACTACATGCTCAAAAGCATGGCAGGAAACCGCTAGATTGGGGGCTGCCAGCTCTGAGTCCAAAAATATCTGGCTCAGAAGAAGAGGTGTCTGCTTTGCAATCACACTTAAAGGACCCTGCTCCCAAAGATGCCCAATTCCGCACGTACCTGAGGGTCCTCGGGTAAGATTGATCTCTTCCTCAGTGACCAAACAATCCACTCTTCCGTTCATATTTTACTGCCTGTCTGGTTTCCTACCTGGTCAACTAGGACTCGCACAGGTGAAGGTGAATCAATCTCAGTGGGGCGCCTAAACACACCGCACTTTCGGTTTCTGCGGCCCCTGGACCGGAAGCGGAAGCGGGGAGCGCGAGGAGTGTAAGGAATGCTGGGAATCGTAGTTCTGGTGGCGGAGGCGTTGCGAGCCCTAGGCACGCAAGTGAACCTGGAGCAAGTTACTGTTGCGGGTGGGGGATGGAAGGAAAGCAAAGGTGAGAGACATACATAAAGTCAGAGTGTGGAGGAAAAATTAAAAGGAAGATATCCTGCAACTTCTAGGAAATCTCCACCAATGGAGCAAAAAAAAAACAACAAAAAAAAAACCCCCTCTATTATTCTGTGAGCACCAAACCAGACTGGGCTGGGCGTCTCATACAATTCGCTCATATGATTGCAAAAAAAGACAGAAACTTCACTCTTTTATGTAGCCAGGCAGATACAGTGCATGACCTGCACGTTTTCACGGAAGAGGACTTAACAGCACCGTTTGCTATACACCCTTTGGTAAGTCCCCTTTTTGGTGGCCATCTGTGTTAGTTAATTGCCATAATCAAGAGTAAAAATTACGGTTGCTTCCCGTCCGCTTGGAGGCTCCGCTTCCCCGCTGGGCTCTGCCCGT